TTCAATTCATATCCACCATTAAAGTGGAGAACAGATTACTTTCTCCCGTAGCAGCAGCTCTTTCTGTAATTGAAGACTGTTCTCATGCCTCCCTTCAATTCACCCAAGGGAAGTAGCATGAGCCCTGTATCTTGGGAGACTTCAAATTAGATCAGGCTAAGCAGTTTAGAGCGCTCTGGAGGAAGGGAGGCTGCTTCAGTGGGAACGCAGAGTACACGGACTGGCTGCTCTTTCCCATAATGACCTCTGAGAGCCTGGCTCAGTGCTTTTATCTGTATTTAAAAACACTGCACACTTTTTTTTGAACAAGAAGGAAATGGCGGAAAAATGAAATACAGAAAAAAAAAATAAATCTTGAAGGCGGCTATTAATTTTAGGGACTGATTTTGTAAAGCTATTTACCGTCTGCCCCGTACCCCCTGTGCTCACTTCTCTTGCTCTGACCTTTTCCTTAGAAACATGCAATTTTAAATCCTTCCTCAGTCCTCTCTTTCCATTTAAATCGTGATTTGGCATTATACTTCTGCAGCCCTTAAAAAGTTTGCTTTGGAGTGTTTATATTTTTGGTGAATCATTAGATTGTGTCTTCATGTGTCCTTCTTAGTTACTTACCTGAGGGCTTTTATAGCTGAAAAAAGCAGGCTTAGCTGAAGAGACGAGCGTGCCTAGCTCTAATAAATAAAGCACATGGAGTCAATTAAAACAATGTTTAAATAATTTTCAGAAAGGAGGATGCTTGATGTTACTACATCAGAGGACCACAGCGACTTTTAAGCCAACAAACTGTGCAGGTTTACTTTCTCATTTAATCTCCAGGTCTATAAAAAATGCATGCTTCCATAGCACTCATCTATCCACTCCAACAGTTAACATGATTTTGGAATTATTTTAAGTCCAAACCATGTGAAAATAAATCCTAACTCAATTTTGTGGGATTACTTTGTTTCCATTAAATTCCTCTTTAAAGGATTTCATATGCTCAGTTTTATTATTGTTACTTCCAGGAATTTCTGAATACTTCCAAATTTGGATTGATTAAAGTTTTAACTTTTCGGGGGGGGGGGGGGGGGGGCGGGAGAAAGGAAAAAAAATGCAATTCCCTACCTACTTTACCAAGTATTTACAAACCAAGCTGTTTATATATATATCTTAATGGATGCATACACAGCACACGCAGTATCTGTGTGGTTCTTTATAGTCATAACATATTAGAAGGTAGATCTATTAGATTTCACAAGTTAAACAAAATAGAGCTTAGTGGGTTCTTAAAGATGAGGAACCTCCTAAAGAAATTGAGGCATAGCAAGGAATGGTCAAGTCATATGGATGAATAAAGAAATTACATCCTTTTTTCTTCCAAAATAGTGTGTATGTGCTTAAGGAACAGAGCAGGAGAGAGTTAAGCAGACGGTCACATCTCTGCAGGATCTGAGGTTGGGGTTTTGACCCTTCACGGAAAACACCGCAGTGCTATTTTTGCATTTTGTTCTGTAGCTCAGTTGTGCTCTGAGTGAGTGTAATATGCAGCCGTGTGGTGGTCAGGCTGGGGTGGCTGCCCATACGTTTTGAAGAGACATTTTTCAGATGAGTAAACTCAAAACTTTATGGTCATTCGAGGTTCTATGGTCAGCAGTGTTGTGACACCTCTCTGTAGGTACATACAGGAATGTTTCTGTAAGTAACTATGTGCTTCCTGGCTACTTCCACGCATGGAGGTTGTTTACTTGTGTTGTTTTGCATATGTGAAGCTATCTGGAATTTTTTGTCTAATAATTTTTATTGCAGTGATAATTGAAGTGATCCAACATACCTAACTTGAACATCTGTAATAGACTTTGATGCTCATAAGGTCACTCTGTAAACACATTGATTGGTTAGTCCTAACCTCACTGAAGTTGTCTTTTGCCTCTGACCTCAGTGAGGTCAGGATTTCTTACCCTGTAATTGAATTTCCTCAAATAGTAGCAGGCTCGGTTTTCCTTTTCCCGCTGTTTTATGTTCAGGTGTCCCCTGAGAAGGAGGTGACTGAATTTGCTTACACTTCAGTCCACCAGGTTGGCACACAGTGGACACTGGATGCATTTTGACAGTGAATGGTCTGAAATATTTGCTGGCATCACCTTCCCATGAGTCTTAGGCTCTCTGTCCAGCCTTTTTTGCGTGGGCAGAAAGAGACTGAGGTCAAGCCTATAATTGCAGTTCTAGAATATGCCTAGTTTCTGCCTTCAATCAGGCTGCCTGTCCCTCTTTTAATTATGTGATACAGTCTCTGTTTCATCATTGTGCTCTGAAGAGATTTGCCACAAAGCAACCTCTGTGGCGTAGGATTTGGCAGAGGCATGCAGGATTTGGATTATATTATCTCGCAGAAAAGTTCCCGGGATGCTTAAATCTTTTCTGCCTTCCTCTGTGCAGAGGTCAAGCAATCAATGCAATAGAATAATGTACTTCTCATTGCACTGAGCTGCCACAGCCTCACCCACCAGGAGGGATGAGCTGCTCCTTTCCTCCTCCTTGCCACCGCTTGGGCTTTGTGCACTGAAAACAAACCCTGAGCTCCACCCACAGAAACCCAAAAAGTCTTTCAGGAGGACAGAGACACCTGCACCCACCCCGTCCCTCAGTCAGAAGCTCTGGGGCCCTTTAGCCGAGACGCAAGCGTGTCCATGTGTTCTGCATGGGTGGAAGCAGAGAAACCGAGCCCCGTGGGGCCGAGCTGCTGGACCAGCCCTGCCCTCCTGCCTCTGCCAGGACCGGCTGAGAGCTGCTCTCCATAGTGGTCCTCCCTGGGCTCTGTCCCTTGTGGAGCTCAGCCAGACCTTGCTGCAGTAGCAGCCTTGCTAAGGATGGAAATGCGATGGGCTTTGTTAAAATACCAGTGTCTAACAGGAGCTTGGGGAAGATTTAAATGCCCTCCTGTCCCACTGACTGAGGACAGTGGTGTGTAGTTTTCCTTTGTCTTTCCTAACCTCTTGTATGACACATGATTTGTGAGGGACAACTGGAGACCTGAAACTTGCTGGTTGTATCTTCAGTGAATTGCACATAAAAATCCAGCCGTAGCTACCCAGGGCGTGCCTCTAGCCCGAATGCAGCCATGACACTGCCCTTTTGACAACAGTTACATTTTCTTTAACTAGTTGTATTATGCTGCATTTTTATTTGTAGAGCATTTGCAGTGGTTGTCGTGTTACCTGCAGAAACTTGTGTGTCTATACGCTTTGTTGTGGCTGGCCCTGGACTTGACCGGTGCGAAATGGCAGCTGGGAAGTTCAGTTTACTGCAGTCAGAATTATGCCAATGGCACACAAAATTTCCTATATCAGACCTTCTTTTGTTATCTCCCTTGTCTCAAGAAAGTTCATTCTGAGCTTTGTAGACAAAGAAAAACAACCAAGACAAAGATGTAACAGAATGCCAGAGACAAGTAATAGTGCCTCTCTGAACTTTTATTAAATCAAAAACAAAGATGAGAGAAAACGAAGCAGCATCTACCATAAACCACACTCATTAGAAGGACATTTACAAGCCTAACCCAACACTTTGGCAGTTTCTCTGTTTTACTGATTTTTTTCCCCCTCCTCTGTACATAAATCCCAATCGGCTCTGACCAAGCTTGGTAGGGCGGCCACAAAAAGCTGGATGTGAACTGTCTCTTCTGCTTGTATTTCATAGCTGTGGACACTCAGGTAATTTCTTTGAAGAATAGTTGAAACACACTTGTGCAAATGATGACCAAACACACTGATACAGAAAATGGGTGTGTTGCTTAAGTGGTCTGGGAAGGAACTCTTCACCAGAGGCTTGGATTTCCCAGTTAAGTACGGGCTTACTGTGTAACCCTGTGCTATCACCTAATCTCTCACTCATTTTGATATGGGATTGATCGTGCTCTGATGCTCTGACATGCACACCACAGCGAGTGCCTGTGCCTAGTGCTCAGGGAAGATGCTGAGGTGCACAGGACACTGTCCCCACTCTTTTCTACACCAGATACTCATACCGCAAGCCCACTCCAGTTTGTTCTAGGCTTGCCTCTGTTTCTTTTTTGCCACTATGCAATCTTGAATAGGGTTGCATTTTGCTGCCGTGTAGTCCTCTGTAGGGTTGCATCCAGTGTGATGCAGGAGGGATCCCCTTCCTGCTTGGACTTTGCAGGCAAAACCTTGTTCTGTACTTATGGTGGCTTTGTTCGTACAGCTCGACGGGCTGACTGTGGGGGTGGAGTCAGCTGCCACCTGATGAAGACACAACTGATCAAAATTTTGAAGAGTAAAACCTGTCCTCACTCTCATTCCCAGGAAGTGCTGCCTGTTGGGTAGTTAAGATGTTCATCTACCACATCTAAGAATGAGTAGTGCTGCTTCCTTCAGCAATTGCATCTCCAGACTCAGTAGAGAATACATGATCCTTTTTTTTTCTCTCTTTCTTCTTTATGTACATGAATTTGTTTTCAAAAACATTTCTTTTTTTTCTTCCGTAGGAGATGACCCATTCCTGGCCTCCTCCTCTTACTGCTATTCACACTCCTGGCAAGGCTGAGCAGAACAAGTTTTCTATCCCAAGCAAGGTACAAATAAGCTGTTACCAGTGACCTGGTTAATATTGTGGTCTGTTGAGTGTTCTTCACTGGAGAGTTTATTTTTGTAATTGGTTCCATTTTCAGAAGTTTATAAGACTATTTTTAGTTGGAAATTCCCAATCAGATCACTGTTAGTAGTAGGACTGCTTATTTAAAGCTGCAGAAATTACAGTGGAGGCAAAGTGAACTTAACTTACGCTGTTGTTACAAGAATCTTTCTACATCGAGTGCAATGTATTTCATTTATTTGTCTTTGTTCCTACTTAGTGATTGGTTGCATCACGAGGTTTAAGCTGTACGGTCAAATTACAGGGACTCACGGTGTTCCTGCACGTGAGCAGCCCTGTGACATCTGTCCGGGTGCACGCTCCAAGGGCGCACGAGGTTGCGCAGTGCGATCCTCAGTATCGGCCTTGCTGAAAGCACGCACTCAGCACTTGCCACGACAAAAGCACCTGGAGAGTACCTGCAGTGCACCTAACAAGCAGTGAATCATTAAGTTGTGTGATTTGAATGTGCCTTTCACCCAAATTCCTTTGTTGCCTTGTAGCTATGGTTTTGGTAACACTGTTAGAGATGGAGCTTGTACGCAGGACAGTCTCTTGGTGGGACCTGAGTAACTGTGAGCTGATGATGTTTGGCAAACAAGAGAACATTCTCAGGGTGGAAAATCTAGACCAGTCTGAGACGGAGCGACATAAAAGGTTCTTTCTAAAGGCAGAGCCTTGGAAAAGAGCTTATAGAACCAGTACCGCTTGACATTATGGTTCAAGCAATCACATCCTGGTTTAGAAGGTGGAATGTGATTTTCCTCTTACTGGTTTTATCTGTTTGGCAGATACTCCCTTGCCCGCAATGCAGCCGCCATACCTAATTGGAAATCATATGAAATTAGCAGTATCTGTGGCTCCTTAAAAAAACAAAGCCAGTGCCCAGAATGTCTGATTTTAATGGAATGTGATTGCTACTGTTCTAGCACTGCCACTGTTGCTGCAGTTAACTGCCTCAGCATCAGGCATCAGATGTCATAATCATACAAAGTATAATTCTCATTGCAAATGGGATTAAAGTCAGTTAAACGCATTTAGGTGACAGAGGAGTCTGACCTGTGTGATTACAGTAAAAACAGAGAGGTTTGCCCAATGGAAGCTATATTTTTTTTATACCATCTCTTAATTCAGTGCTCTGGTTTTGATGGACCCTACAGAAATTGGTCTAAGTCTTGCAGACTGACACTGTCTCCATTGGCAGCAGTATAAGCATGGGTTCAAAGAAGCTAAAATTTGGGTTTGCTTTTCTGTTTATGTTAAGTTTGCTTTGAACTTTTAAGGTCCACATCAAAGTTAATTTCTGGGCATGTTAAATGTTGATCCTAAAATTTGTGACCGTATCACTTCAATACAAAATAGAAATTAGATTTTATTTTATTTTTGTGAGTTAGTATTTCAGGAAACAGGCAAGCACATAAATGTTTCCAAGTTTTATAGTTTTACTTAAAAAAACTGCAACAGAAATGTCTTTTCAGAACATCACATTAAATGAATGACAGCTAACCAAATTATAGATCTTAGACATAATGTGACTAGATTGTGGAGCCGTATAAACCAGAGACGGACACTATTAGAAGTTTTCAATTTAACTATTAAAAAAAGTATCCTCATGAGAAACATTTAAGGAAGTGTGATAAAAAAAGTCGGAACCCATCAGAACAATTTATCCCTCTGACATTCAAATTTGAAGTGCCATATTTACTCTTAGGGCATGATTTACTTCACAAGGGACTGACTGACAGCACAGTATAATATTAGGAACTAATAATGCCCTAAGAGGAAGTGCAGGGAGGGCTTTAATGACTTTAACATCCTACAGAACTAACACTTCCAGCAAAGTAGTGCCTGGCTGTAAGACGAGGTTGTAAATAACACCTTAATTTCAAATGATCAAACTGCTTGGAAGGAAAGCTGATTACAATCACTGTGGACTATAAAGCCTGAGAAAAACTGAGCAAAAAAACACTGTGACATTAAGGAAGCAGCTTAGTTACTGTGAGCCAACAAGAATCCTGGCATTAGCATGCTCAGTCGTGCAAACCAGATTCTTTGCTGGTTTGAAGTTGTTGCACTTCCATTGATTTCATTGGATTTGGACCAGTTTCCATCAGGTGATGATCTGCTTCCAGCATCTTTATTAAATCCTGTGTGTCACAGTCCAGATAGAAACAGTGGCTATCAATAAAAGGTTACTGTATTTCCAAGCAGTGGGATCAAAAAAAAAGAAAGGTGGTGGTGCTGAAATTTAACACGTAGCTGAATTCATGGTGTGGACTGAGTTGCGCCGCGGAGATGGCTCCTGCACGCGTCCATGGCTGAGCCTGGGAAGGGCTGGGACCAGCACAGGTGTAAATCTCTGCAGAGTCTGCCTGAAGGGGAACAAAGATTTACAGCAGCTAAGGACAAGCTCTTGTCTGAACTGTGCAGGAGCCCCTCAGTGGTGCTCTTTCTCCACAGCTAATGTTTTTTATCAAACTGATGTGGCTGGTGCTGCCTTACCAATCACGTGATCCCTTCCCTGTGCCATCTCCTTCCCTGTTTGTGTAACACCAGTGCCCTTAATCTAGCAAGCCGAGATATAGCTTACCTTCTTCATCTTATGTAACTAACGCTGACATTTTGTGTGTTCTTCTTTGTAGGACTCCCAACATCTGACCTCAGGATACAATGTACAAAGTAGGTCTTTATCATCCAAGTCCTAACAGTCAGCGTCGGGTTGTTCTTTTTCCTGCTTAACATCATTAAAACAAAGGCTAAAAAATTAATTTCTGTGGCGCTAAAGCAGATCAGTTCCATTTTTTATTACATGTTATGCATTGTGGCATGTTGTGAAACCAAGTATAATTAGATGGGCTGACAGCTTTGGGTGCATTTTAATTCTACAGTAATCTTTTGACATTTGAAAATGTGTTTCCTTTGTTTGCAGAGTGGAGTGATCCAGCAGGGAAAGTTGCAACTAAGTCAGTGCCACAAAAGTCGTAAGTATTATTATTTCCAGCTTTAAATCTCATTTTAAATTTATCGTAAAGAATGAGTTTATTTCTCCAAAGGTAACTAAAATCTACCTATGCTCGTAATCTTATCCTAGCGTTCAGGTGTTCTCAGTAGTCCTTAAAAATTAGCCATAAACCAGTTTTATGTTTTCAGTGCTTATTACTGTTTCTTCTTTTTAAGCATTAGCTAACAGAGATATGTGTGAAAGATGAGTTTATTAAGCAGAAATAATGCTGATTTTAGTTGTTCAGCTTGCCAGAATTAAATCACTTTTATGCTTCTCTCATCAGATACTAAGCCTCTTACAATAGAAAATGCAACCCAATGAACAGATGATGCAGGAATTTTAACATTCATACAGTGAGAGAGAGTAGAACACATCATACAGAGTGATTCTGCTAGCTGGTGTTGAAAAGCTGATCTTGAGTTTCATACACTTTGAAACAGCTGAAAATCACAGATGATCTATAAATGTGACAGTTTAAACTTGCGGAAGAGCTAATTCTCCATTGTGTTAAACCATTTTTCTTTGGAGGCTTCTCTGGTGTAAGGCTGCCGTAATGCAGCAGTGAGTTGAGATTGAACTGGTTTTTTACTTTTACTCCAGGATCTCAAAGTAATTTGCAAACAGGAATTAAATAATAGCTTTGAAAAGTAGGTTGTTGGTGGTTCTATACTTTTAAAAAGTGAGTCTGATTTCAGTTCAGAGCTGCTGGGTTTTTCAAGTGTTTTAAACTCTCAAATTCAGAACTGTAGTAGCTTAACTGATGCGTAAATATGGTGTATTCACTTAAAATTACTTCAAAATTATTCTTCATCTACTGTGGGCACAGTTTTACATGCATGGGGTTTTTTTAAACTTAATTTAAATATATTGATTCTAAGTGCAAGTTTGTGTACAAGAAAACACTTGTGAGAGTTCAACGATCTGTCTGTGACCAGGTAAGAGATGCAGGACTAGACGAGATGTGCGTGCCAAATCTGTTGATGTACTCACCAGGCTCTGAAGGTGCAGTACACAAGTCATGGAAGCAATCATTCAAATAAATTTTGTTGAGTAAAGCTTTACAACTAACTCAATTTAAAAATGAAAATATTTTTTCTTCATATTGAAAGAGAATCGGGGAGGAATGCTAGTGATAAATAGGTTAATTTGCAATAATAACATTTATTTATGAAACTTAGTAACAAATTAGTTTTTGCCCTTTCCTATTTGATTTCCAGTATTGCTTTGGGGTTTTTAAACAGTCTAGCTACCTATAACCACTGTTTTTGGTAACATTATAGGTGCATTCATGTTTCAGAACATCCAAGTGATCCAAACCAAATATCAAGCACATTCCAAAGTAAAAAAAAAAGGTAGAAAAATATTATTACATCTTCAAATGATTTTTCTCTTAAAACAAGTGTATTTGGATTCCACCGTGAAAAATATTTTAGTGAGTATACCATAAAATACAATATTTCAATAGTTTGTAACCAACAGCAATAGACTTGTCAATCATGGTTTATAGTTATAAGCCGAATTTCAAAAGAACAGTGCTTCAGAGCTCAGTGGTATATAGTGCATTTAATGGGACCAAAGCTCTCTATAGGAAGCCTGATATAAAACCCGAAGACACCAAGTACATTTTATGAACGAGTTGCTCTCTGTTCTGCTGCTTGATCTAAAGTTCCAGTACTATCAATCAGAGTTCTGCTGCAATGAACTGCCTTCTTATGGTAGGTGATAGATTTTACACATGAGAGATCAGAGCTGCAATAAAGCTACTTTTATTTTTAGCTTCCAAATGAAGATCAGCTAACCCATTACTATCACTTTTTCTCTTTTACTGCAGAAAAATTGTTAAGGCAGCTTCTAAGAATTTCCATAGGGCTTTGAGAGGTTAGAAGGCAGTCCACTGTGAGACTTGGTATTACGAGGCCAATTTGTTTCTTTAGATCTGCGTGTGCAGTTACCGGCACTTTCACTCGGAATTACAGTACTTGACGACGTAATGAAATTAAAGCAGTGAGTGGGACAGAAAGACGTGATGGTATCAAGTAGAGCTGCATAGTGCGATCCAAATAAACCCTAATAGATTGACAGCTCCTGCAGTCATTGTGTATTTTAATAATATAGGATTTATCAGATTGCAGTTGTATTAAGAGGGATTTAATCTTTCTAACGTTGGACAGTTTCAGGGATATTGGAGTGTACGAGTGAAATTACAGTCCAGCTTATCCCCAGTAACATTTGTTGCTACACTGTCAGCCACACAGCATGGTCTTATTGACTTCCAAACTGTATTCCCCACCAAATTCCTTATATATTTTGTCAATGGGATGCATTATCTGTATTTCAGTTTCATCAAATCTAGCTGGATTTGGACTCATTCATCTGTATGCTTTGTTAGACACCTTTCAACCTGGCCATGTTTCTAGATATTCCACAGCTTTTTGAAGTTTACGTGCAATTCTAGTGAAACTTAAGTTATATTTACATTGGTTCTAGTGACACAGACTCCGGTTGGCTTTGTTAGAAATTCGTAGGAACGTGCTTGCATTCACTGTGTTGCTGAGTTACACTACAACTAATTGAGTGATGCCTGCAGCACACTTTACCTTCATGATGCTGTATTCTGCTCCAGCAGCCAAGCTGCGTGTATGTCATTACAGAATTAAGGTGTAGAAACATTGCCATTGTGGAAGATCAGACCAAAGGATCGTAGGATCTTTGGAAGATAAGCTTTCAGGGATGTGTTTCTAGGGGTGGCCATACTGCAGGGTTAACCAATGCCCATTTTTTCTAGGAGGGTACAAGGTGCATGACTTGTTGTCTGAGTAAAGCTTTCTGAAATAAGAATTTCATCGTTTCTGTGCTGTTTCAATGTACTTGATTACATCCACATGCTGGAGAAATCCAATCCCCAATGCTTTGCAGCAGGTAAAATAGTAGTTGAGGTTGTGTCTGGATTCTGCACCTGGGTTGTACATGAGGAGGTGTACGTGTGACTAATCCCAGAATACTGATGTATGTGCACATGCGTATGCCATGGTGAATTTTTATAGCTGAAGTCAGGTGATGTAAAACTATGACACTTGGTTTCCCTGGTTTTTTTAGTTTCAAATTCACTGAAAATCTCCACTGGGTATCATGCGCTCAGTTTTCAGCCAGTCTGCTCCAATTAGTTTGTTATGAAGCATAGGAAGCAGGAACAGATAAGGTGCAACCAATTGCACTGAGAAGGATTTTCTGTCAACTCCCATGAATTTAAGGGTATAAACTCAGCTTGTGACTTAGGTTTCTCTTATATAATTACCACTGCAAGTGTGTCATCCTCAAACATCCAGTCCTTTTGTTCTGTTTTGGTTGTTAGCGTTTGGCCTCTGTCCAGCTGGAAGCTACCCAGAACCTTTTTAATCAAGCACATCCTGTGTTTCGAAATCATACTGCAGAGTAGTCTTGGGTACTTTCCATAAAAGCCTCACTAAAAAAGAAGAATGTAATCATAATTGTATTCTTCCCCTGTCATAAAATTACTTCCTATACTTACTGTATTAATACAGTATTAAAAGGCCCTTCTCATGGGCTCAGTGAACTACCGGAAATCATTAAAAACTTAGAGCAGCAAATTTTTATGGAACAGAGAAAAGCAACTTATTTTATCTTTATAGTTTTTGTTATTCATCATACTTAATGATACACAAGCTGTGTTGGGGCTAGAGACCAGCTAAAAACAATGGGCTCAAAATCAAAACAAGGAGCCGAAAATCTTTATGTGGTATTTCAGCAAGGATTTTTCAAGGCGTGCTCACCACTGGTTTCAGCTGAGCCGGGATTTCACTTCACAGTTCTAAAAAAAATTTCAGTAAATACCAGTACTTTTCTAATCCCAAAGATTATCATAATACTTAATGGGAGCCTGTTTGAAAATGGAAGTGTGCTTCTTGATGTCTAACTACTTTTCCTAAGTATCTAATGGCTTTTTGGAAGTTCTCCACTGTGTCAGGGACAGCCACCTGGGAACAAAATTTGGCAGCATGTTAAAGCTGTGAGTTAAAGGTAATTCATGGTCTGAAATGAATCAGCATGAGGTCCTTAGGAAGAGTAATCAGACATCAAGAGGATTTTACACCAAGGACTGTATATTGGATAATACAACAACAAGTAATGTTATTATTCAGAATGTTCAAATCAAGAAGCACTGGTGAATTTTTAAGCTTGAAATGAATCAGTTTTAAAAAACGGGGATTCATTCAGCATTGATGCATCAATTTCCAGTTGAATAATGGGAACCAAAAATGTAGAATTTATCTCCAACCAGAATAAGGAGAATGTCTCTGTTTATGTATCCAACTCTGTATCTGAGTTCCAGTCACAATCCAGCCCAGGTGTAATACACTGGAGAAGCTGTAATTTTAGTATTTCTAATTACAGTTTTTAATCGATCATATTAAAGCGTGAGAGTGTCAATTGATCCCACAGTGTTGATAGCCTGCTTCCTTTTATAGCTTACATTCATTTTCACTTAGCGAGTGTGGCAAGCTTTAATCATTAGGCTAAGTACTGCCTGTTTGTTAGATGTAGGAAGTTCCACAGATATTCCCTCTGGGTAAACTGGGAAAGTCATGAGTACAAGGGACTTGCACTGCCATGTACAAATTATGATAAGTGAAACAACAGTGACATGTAATTGGAACTTCATTAATCTTTAGAGAGCTCCAGTGCACCATATTAAAGGGACAAATGGCAAACGAAAATAGAAGGGTCTGTTTTGATGTCATTCATCTTTCCTATTTACTCTTTTGTTTTGTTAGTTAGAAGTTTACTTCACATTCTTTTGCCTCATAAGTTCTTGCATTGGGAGCAATGAGAGTCAGTCAAGATTGTATCATTTCATTCCTCACTGCTGCAGATTTTCCCTTTTGAGCAAAGTACTGAGTAACTGGGAGTAAAACATGCAGTTGGCTATGGAAGAAAACTTGCAAAATATTTCAGCTG